GGAGGTGGTGGAGTCTCCTGCTCTGCAGATGTTCCAGACCTGCCTGGATGCCGACCTGTGCGACCTGCTGTAGGAATGGCTTTGGCAGGGGGTTGGACTCCATGAGCTCTGCAGCTCCCTTCCAACCCCTTCCAACCCTGTGATGCTGTGATATCCCTCCGTTAAGCCCCTCTCCTACAAAATTCCTCCCTGTGGATGTTAAGAGGGAAAACCAGAGGTCTCCAGTCAAACCCAGCCCTCAGGAAGGGCCGAGCCCACGTGGCTTCTGAGCATCCACAAGGATGGAGACTGCAACACCTCTAACAGCCTCTGCACGGCTCTGTGCATCAGACCTGGCTCCACCACATGCCTTCCTCCCACCACTGGCTCTGCCTGATGTCACAGCCTGGTGGCCACAGTGTTTTGGGATCAGTGTAAGTAAGAAACACTGGCTGCAGTTCTTTTACGCACGTCTGCCCAACTGCCTCTTCAACACAGCAAAATCTGGAGGGCATGTTTGGGTTGAAGAACGCAAAACATCTCTGAGAATGGGGCAGTTTGAAGACTCTTCTCTGATCCTACTAAATGCTGTTTCAAGTATGCCAAATGAATTAGTTGGGAAAGGCATCTGCCAGAGAAAAGCTACCTGTTAAATCAGAAGGTTCAGGACATCTCTAATTATTTTGAGAAATAAAGATCACACACGAGCAAACTCATCTGTTCTCCCTCGTGAAGCCAGAGGAAGCATCATCCCTGTTCTGCATACAGAGAAGAAGCACTGTCTGTTCAGTGTCAAAGCCTGGGAAACCTGCATGCCTCCGTCATGCACAGGAACCAAGCAGTGCTCACGCACAAGCAAGAAACCTGATGAGATCCAGCACAGCCTGTGTTCCAGACCCAACAATCTACAAGCTATTTTTCTCCTCTGCAGGCCTTTTCTGCCATTCAAACTTGTTCTCTCCCATTGTACCTTTGGTGGAATTTCATTCTACAAACACCTCATGGTTTCATTCTAAGTAGAACACTGTAGGGAAAAGGTGGACTCAGTAACCTGGAACAGATTTTGCCTCTGTCACAGCGTGCCAGTCTCACTTCCTTAATTACAAGGCAAAACAAACTCCATGGCCTTGTAATGATGCTGGGCAAACAGGGTTTAATCAGAAAGGCCTCCTAGCCAAGCCTCTCCTGGCCTGGTGAGCGGCCAGCACTCCCAGAGAAACCCAGAGAACTTCCCAAAGGCAGAAAGAGAAGATGAGTACGCAGCCTTTGTGGTCCCACACGAGCTAAGAGGAGCAACCTGTACGAGTGCTGCAGGAAGCCAGTGTCACATACAAAGCTGCAGAGCCAGCTTTGGATATTCTAGCACAAACCCAGCTGCCCAACTTGCTGACAGCAGCTCAGGGCAGCCGTGCTGCACCCACCTCCTGTTTGCGAAGCAGCTTCTGCATCACCATGTGACGGGCACTGCTGCCAGATATGCTCATGTGCTCCTGCTCACTCAGCATCTCCGGCCTCTCCGATTCCTGGAACACCTCCTCCTCTTCCTTCTCCTTCTTGACCTCCATCAGGCCCAGAGCCGGAGGACTGGCCAGGATGGGATTCACAACTCCCACCTGGGGAATGGTGACGGGAATGGGAGGGCGGGCAGGAGTAACACCTGCAAGGGAACAAATGTTGTAGCATTAAGAACTGATGTCTGGCAACATTCAGACACACATCAGCTGGTGATAAGGAGGACCATAAAGCCATCTGGATGGCTTTATCTGCTCCACACCAACAACAAGCCTTAATAAGCACTCAACACATTCACATACAGTTGCCCTGGCGTGAGACTGAGTGCAGGACTCTGCACGAGGTGCCATCTCACTCCCCCAGCTTCACTCAGGGCTCATGCTCTCCTGCTGCGAAGCTCGTGCCCCTGCTGTATCTATTACACACCAACATCAACTCCTGCCATGCTGCTCAAATTACAGTTCTCACCAAGGACAGGCAGGGAAGAGGATTTCAGCTTTACATTCTCTTTAATCTGGACTCCAGCTATGGAGAAGCGTTTGTAACAGTTGCAACAAGTGGCACAAGGAGCAGCAAACGCACCTGTAATGACTCCCGGTGCCTGTGCTGCCATCACAGCCTGTGGCAACGCTCCCAGTGGCTGTGCAAGGGTCAGTGCAGGGGACACGAGCCCAGGGGTGGCCAAAGTGCCAAGAACTGCAGCTCCTGCCACTGCCTCCTGCAAGAAAAAGCAAGAGTTAATTCTGCATCGTTAAGACTTGCAAAGGGGGGATCCAGCTGAGGCCGAGCCCTTGTCACACTTGATACCAGCTCTATAGATACTGAGCACGACAGCTCTGCAGGGCTGCTAGAGAAGCAAGAACTTAGGCCATATACAGGAACTGGAAGACATCAGGCCGTGGAAGAGAATGTTTCTCCTGCAGCTCACTTTCATCCATCCCCCCCTGGGAAGCTGCCAGGACCCCAAGGGTTCTGGTACAAGCTCTGCAAGGTGCAGGCAATTTCAGAGGAGGAATAACGTCTGCTTGAATCATAGAATCATAGAATCACTAAGGTTGGAAAAGACCTAAAAGATCACCCAGTCCAACCGTTCACCTATTCCCA